GAGTCACGGCTTTGGCGGAGCTGGAATCTCTCCGATTGAAGCAAGAAATAAAGGAGATAGTGCTGAATAAGGGAAAAGTGCACAACAAAAAACAGTAGATAAAGTAAGGAAGGGTACCATGTGCACAAACAAGAGTTCTCGGGAGTGCTCACAGCCGGAATTGGGCTAGTGGGGAGCACCGCCGGGGAAAGGGTTCCTCTGAAGCGCTTCCGGGGGGCCCCTTTTACAGAAGGAAAATTGGGGCCCCTCTCACGGTAATTTCGAGCCCAGGTTGCGATGCTGTACCGGTAAGTAGCCGAATTTTGGTCCCTAACAAATACCGTCCTATACTGACTTTCCTGCTCCGGCGCCCGGCGCAGTCGCCTTAGTGACTCGACGAACGTGTCCGCATCACCAAGATGAATCTAGCGTTTGCAGCAAATGTTAAAGCTGTTCTGATCATTAATGAGTTACCGCCAACACACCCACAACATCAAGACTGACCCTCAGTCCGGGACTAGCCCTCCCCAGCTTGAATCAGCAGTAGTCTTGGGTAAGAAACCGGCAGAGAGATTAGTGGTGGCACGAACGCCACAACAACGCTGGACTCCCCTGCAAAGAGACGCGTGACGTCCAGCCTCATCGAAGACAAAATACAGGGCCCAAGTAACACCGCTACGATTTAGCGCATATACAGATCCGTCCCTGAAAGGTTCGCTTTGCCCTGCGGTGGCCAACCTGGGATCTTGATACATAGAGATGAGGAACAGGCCGGGACCAACATGACGGGCGGGAAGCCACTGCAATTTCCGGGACCACGAATGAACCAAGAAACCCCAGCATGCAAGTTTGGTCCCGGAACAGAATGGTTAAATTATCCAAACCTTGGTCCATTGGGTAGTATAACTCGCTTTTGCATGGTGGTTAGCGGAAGAGTGAGTCACAATTTCAGACTAATCATGAACCATCACCAAGCTGGTAACTAGGTTTAGCTGTCTTGGCTCGAATTACTGTACTACGTCGAAAGCTTTTCTACGGAAGAAAAAAGGCAAAGAGATCAGGCTTTACATGAAGTATTAAATACCTAGCTATGGGCAAACAACAGATCAAGAAATATTTCAAAGTCAGGAGCCAACACCTAGGTCCAATATAGATACGGTTGTCTTTCCCAATTATGTCGATGGCGTCATAGGTAAGCATATACTTGTATCTCCAACAAATTTGCCAGAAGACAAGGACTAATTAGTATAAAAATAGTTGGATGGTGATATGAGCTAGTTCCAAAACCCTGATACCCCTAGATCTAGGGCCGTCGAGAAGATCTTCCAGCGTTATTCCACCATCGAAATCAACAAACACGTTAGTGACCAGCTCCCCTCAGGGTTGCACCTTACTTGTTTTGAGCGACTGTAGCATATTGCCGCGGAAATTTCTCCATCCACGAATTATATGGGTTTATTGAGACAGGGGTTACCTTCGGTGATATTTACACACGATCCAGCCATGTCAAGACCCCATTACTCTCCCTGGCGGTATTCCTTCCCATCCCAATAATTAAAGTGACTTACGTATCAGTTCCTAAATTTATCGGGAACCGCTGACACTCGACCAGGTTTAGATCCAAGATACAATAGTTATAACTGACTTTTTATGACTAACATATTCTAGATCCGAACCACCACCTAGCAGGCGACACAATACCCAAGTGTATTGTCTGAGCATGGATTGAGAATGAGGATACTAAGGTCTCTCAGCACCCCACACCCTATGATTATTTTCCTGACCATAAGGCAGGCTACTGCACACGACATATCTCTATCGGCCAGGTTTTTCGACTACCTCAATAACACGTTAACAATGATAAAACGTGGAAGAATACCGGATGCACGGGTTGGAAAAGCAGTCTCGAGGAGAGGAGAAGAATCCTTAGGAAAGGAGTTATGAGAGCTTCTTGCGGACGTAATGAGGATAACCAGGTATTCTGGTGTCGGCGTCCATGGTGGTATATATAAAGTGCAATACAAAGCAGTAGCTTGAGTGTTGCATCACTAGTTGTCACTCGGCTCTGTTGTGGTTCATAAGCGTTGAAACATGCTTCTGGTACTACTGTGGTGTCACTCGTACTGTTTCTTTTCTCCCTACATTAGACCTTATGGCCACGTCTAGACCTCTTGTACTACTGGATATACCTTCTTGTGTCTCCCCTACTCTTTCATATTGTCGTTTACTAGCCTTCTATGTCTCTCTCCCGATAATAGATAGTTGGGGCATCTTGCCCTTCCTCTCAAAAACGTTAGACATTCCTTGTTTCTAAAACTGTCATTCCAAGCCCACAGTGTCAACTATCTATCAATATTATCACCATACATAGTCCGCCAAATCACTGATTCACTTGCCCTGTGTGAGGGCACCGGAATGGGTCCCCACTAGAGACCGTATGAAAGAAGTTTAGCAAGCATTCGTTGCAGCCTTGATGCGGCTGTGATATACTCGTAGCGTCATAGCACCACGCAGGGTAGGTTTTTTCTTTTTCTTCTTTGAGACAAGGGGCCACGTTGTGAAGTGAAACTGACCAAGTGCCCAGACCCCCTCCATTGTATAATACGATTGGGCAAGACCTTGTTCACCAACTATCACTCGTATTTCGACTGGAGAAATTGTTTTGATTCTAGCCGCAGAGAGCCGTGCACATAGCGCCAGCGGCTAGCTATCTTTAAAAACCTGAATTTATTAAGTTTCCCCAGTACCCTCTAACCAGTACGGCTCTCAACTGGAAGACTCTAACAAGTCTAATAAAGTAGGTCGGTGGGGTGCTTTGGTGAACAAATGTATGTAATCTTTGATTGCTGGGAAATTTCCGTGCGGGAAGATGGAGGCTTTTCTTGAGTTTCTATTTTTTTTCTCGAGAGAGGGATAGTCCGTGAGGGCCAGCATCGGCGGAGACTCGAATGCTCTATATGAGTGTTGTGACGCTTGGAGCGAGAACGAGGCATAGCTTACCTAGAACGAGGGGGACGCTGAGTATGAAGACTTAGTTTTACTACGAGCACAGTACCGTTACCGTATTGAGCAAGAAATCCTAGATACAAGGATAAATAAATTATATTGACTAGTATCGGTGAAAGGATCTAGAGGGAATGAATTGCCACCCAAACTTTTCTGAGGGAAGGAGTAGATGTGGACTCAAACTGTAACAGAAATAAGAAATGTCTCCCCTGGTGTTTCAGCCCTAAGACACTAACACCTACACATGGGAATATTACCGGTGGTGTAGTGCCGGTAGAGAATTTTAGCTACTGGCAGAACATAGACTAGAGCAGTGCGATCCTCCCGTTACTATACGGCAGATATATTATCAACGTTCGTGTCTTGTATAGAACCGCGTTGATTTATCATGTTCAAGAGCCTAATACTCGAGTAGAGTCTCTTACGACGCGCCCTATGAATTGTGTTTTAAAACTATTTCTTGAGTATAGGTTCTTGCTCTTGGTTTAGTTCTGGCGGGAGAAGAACGCAAGGTAGTTGCTATTATACTGTACAAAGTTTGGGGTTGGACAATATTTGCCAGGAAAAATTACCGTACTCATGAAGACGGAGGATGAAACACGAGAAGCAAGCGCAACTGCACATACAACACTAGTATTAACCACAATAAAAACAGGCTTCCCAACATAGGAATCGGAGAACTCGTGGGCCATACGCATTGGTATACCCCACTCAACAGACTCCCAGATGTGTTTGCTACCCAATCGTGGTCCTGGACTCCATTCAGGGGCTGCGCACTCCAGTTCACGGTGCACATATAAACCTCTTCTATCCCACTTGGCCCACACACAGAAAGAGGCTCACAATCGAATCAATCTTCTTCTCCTCCACGATCTCCCATTACTGTCCGTAACACTCTTGCCGGTCCCCTTGCTTAATTCGTATGTGCTGCTAAAAAATCTAACCCAAATAATGGCTTTAGTAATCCCGTTCTTTAATCATTGCCCACTATTTTGTCCTTTTTTGGGGTGAAGCGGCGGCTCAGCGATCCGGGATATTTTGCGCATTCTCATACGGTGAGGGGAAATGGACTGTGGAGTGTATCTGGTGAAGGTTTGGATGGGTTACCAACCCCTATGAGGGTTTATACTTGCTGAGTAGGATGTATGGGAAAAATTCCCTTGTTATGTATGAATCACTTTCACCGCTGGAGTTGCCTTGCTCGGGTTATTCCGCTGTGAACTTGACGGATCATATCATACACAGATCCCGATAACACGAGAAGATCCAGACCAGAGTACTTTTGTATACTTCTCTCTATAAATGAGGATCCGAAGGTACTCAATGTCTCATTTATATTATTTGCGGGGTCTTGCCATCTCTATCTTCTCACCCGACCCGCCACTTGCCTAACGCGGGGTTTACGCGTTGAGAGGCTGTCCTGTAGTGTACGAGTACTGTATAAGTACTCGAGTAGAAAGAATGATGGATGATCGTTTGGTAACCGCCACGGTTGGGTGGCGGTTCGAAAACCCACACAAAATTTCGGTGTGTTCAAACCACCATCCAAATCTTCAGATCAACCAGGACTATCCATCCCTTCAACTTGCAGTCATGAGACAGCAGTTTGCGTAGTCCAATTCTAACCTGTCAATAAAATTCGCGACAGACAACTCCGTGATCCCCATGAGAAGATACGTCATGTAGGGTATTCCACCAATGCTATTGCCAGCTAGGGCGTTTTATTAATTTCTCTTAGGCTCGGTTCGAAATTTCTTGCCCTGCAATTGCAGGAAAATATCAGCGGATCCATTGCAGGTAGTCAGCTTGAGTCTTGCAGACAATTGGCGAATAGATAAGTGCCTCTGAGACAGCAGAGGGCAACCGTAGCCCCGTACAATATCGACCACGTCGAGGTGCAGTTAAGTTGTGCGGAATGCTTGCATATTCAAATCCTACTCGAGGAGCCGAGAGCACTCGGAGGAAAGAAATATTTACACCTCTTCATCGTCTCCGTGGCCTAGAATTCGTGTTGGAAAAGCGATTTTTTCCGTACAATTCACGGCACCCCGCTCTCACAACGAAGCACCGATAGTCATGGAGAGTATTGGCGTAGCATTGGGAATCGCAGGGCTCGCGGGCCTTTTTACCACTTGCCTTCAATTATTCGACCTCGTTTCCACCGCCGAATCGCACAGTTCTGCTTGTCAGACCTTGCTGTGCAAGCTAGAGGTTGAGCAGGTTCTCCTTCTCAAATGGGGTGAGGCTGTTGGTATTTTTAACCCTCAAGACTCCGACCGCGAAGAGCGCAACGAAACATATAATAAACGACTCGGCGATACCCCTATTCGTAGGGCAGTGTTCAACATCCTAAGCTGTTTGAAAACGACACTTGAAGACACTAATAACCTGGTTGCAAAGTACGGCCTACAGCCACTTCAATCGGAAGACGAGGCGTTCGACTCCTCGCCACCGCGATCCGCATTCCGAGTAGCCCACGAGAAGCTGCAGCGGCTGTTGAAATTGACACAACAACAGGCATCATTCTCAAGGAAGACTCGCTGGGTGGTTCAGGATAAGGCAAAGTTCGAATTATTGATTGTAGAGATAAGGGGATTCAACGAGAGTTTAGGAAGACTGCTTCCAGAGGTAGCAATGATCCAGCAGGAGAATACAAGGGCAGAAGTGGGGGAGAGTAGTGATGTCGCTGCCTTGAAAACACTTGAGGAGGCCTTGAAGGGGGCTCACGATGGATTAAGTGATGCCGCGAGTCAAAGATTATGTAGCCTTAGCGATGCCGGGAGTCCTGACGATATCGAAGACCGTTTGAGACAAGCACCACCTCCAAACGCCTGCGATGTTACCGGGTCTACTATCGGATTAAATTGTGTTGAGCCTCAGACCACAGCTGTCCCTAAGATTGAGAAGTCTAACCTTCCCGACACGATAGCGGAGGAGAATCCAGACACATCCAAAAGGGCTACTGCCAGCATTTCTCGGCGGTGTCGATGCGGGCTCGAGACATCCCTAGAGAATGGTCATGTCTGTATTCTCAAATCATTACAAAGCTCGCCTGGAGATTACTCCGGAACGATTTTGAGCCGCCTACGCTCATGCGAAGATTTTACGGCCACCGCGAATTTTAACCGGTCAAACCTCCCTTCCACCCCCTCTTCTTCTTCATCTCCCACAACTTCCTCTTTTCCCGGAGCCATCTCCTCCACTATCCCACCCTCACAACCTTCAACCGTTCTTCTCCCTGCCATCAAGAAGTCACGGTTCCACCCATATCAAAACCTTAGCCGCCGAAATCCACCCACACCGCCACGACGAACAGTATCTTTTGATACCAGCCGAATGGCCCCACCGGATAGCACCTCTAATACATCTTCATCAACACCGATATATCAACGTCGGTACCAGCGACCGCTTTCACGCCTGGGCTCTCGTTCCCCGCCGGGTTTCTCTAATACTGCCGGAGGAGCCGCGGACTACAACACTGGCCTTGCGGTAGCCAAATCTCCCATGACCGCATTACAAGATCAGAGTATGGGCCTTGCAGGTGTAAAGTCTCCGATGCAGGCTTTGATCGATCAAGAAAGTGTTTTGGCAGGTGTAAAGTCGCCGATGCAGGCAATTACCAATATGGGGAATCTTGCTAGATCAGTGGATGGGGTCCATGGTGGGCCGGTGGGGTACGGCATGGCCCTTGGGGCGGGCCCAGCAGACGATGGTGCAGGTCCTGCGGGGAATTAAAAACGAGGTTTGTATTTTGAACTTACCTAAAGTGAACCTAGCTAATCATGGAAGTAGATGTGATATGTTTTTCGTTACATAAGGAGAAAAAAAGGGAGGGGGCACTGGAAAGGGCGTTCAGTGGTATAGGATAGACGGAGGATATATTCTTTTATTAGGCATATTTTTCAATTTCTCTCTTTTTCTTTGCAGCCAGCTATATCCTGTTCATAGAGTTAGGTCTACTGCTATTCTGAATGGAAAAAAAGGGCTATTATTCGAGTGATAATTCGTGAGTAACACTATTACCATCTTGGAAGATTCTTTTTTAGACTACGTGGTGATTTCGGATCAAAGATCGGGAATTGAGATATATTAAAATCCCGGGGAGTGAGCTGCAACTGCCTTGCATTGCAGGGAGGCCGATCGACTGGTACTGTACGGGTTCGATACAATTTATTATCCTTGTGCGGGCAAGTTAACTTGTACTTTACTCGAGTATCCGTAACTGAACAATGTTTGTGAACACGGCTGCTATTGCATACTGCCAAAATCCAGCTTTTCCGCTAAGATCTAATAGTGGTCGTGTTCGAAAGCTCCCTTCAATTAAGAATACATCCCAAACTATGGGGTACTTTGCGTGCAAAAGTTCCTTTTTGGGTAATTGAAAATCTTGTGGAGAAAATAGCCATTGAAGCACTGTGAAATTTTGGCCGCTGTAGCACTGTACAGTACGCTGCTGCAAGGTTGCCATAGCAGCTTGGGGTAAAGGACAATCAATAATGTTGAAGAAATCGACGATCTCGGGAATAGGCAATCCCGGACATCGCCGAACGATAATTCACTCTGGGAGACCTGATTGGTCCCAAGAAGTGTGATGGGGGAGGGGGAGGAAGCTCAGAGACTTAGGTAGGGGAGCGTGCGGCGGTATTTGCGTCTATTAGGTTAGGAATGGATCAGAAAAGCTGGGTCTACTGGACGATGTTTAAGGTGGGGTATAAAGTCGCGCTGATCACGTGGCCCCAGTTGTGGTGGCAATCTTGACCGTAGTGGTGAAACTGGGGATAAATCCGGGACCTGGGCCTGATGGCTGTCCGCCAGAATCGGGATGGATAGAACAGAGCACATAGATATCACTATTACCTAAAAAGAAATCCAAAACCCCCCCGAATAATCTGTATAAGATCCCTACTAAGTAACGACAACCGTAAGCTAATCAGGCGCTGAATGCTAGCGCCACCCGGAAAGTCCGCCTAGTCAGTCGCTGGAGTGTAGGAAATTGCCTTTATATATATACATATATCATAATATTGTGTTTATTGTTTATGCTACGAAAACTTGTGCGCTTCTCGCTGCGCCGTGAAATTCCAAGCGCTCTCCCCACCCCTTGGGGAGGGTCATCGCCCGAGCCCCTCTGGTGTGGAACTAGCTGTGGGGAGTCACCTCTGTAGGAGGTACAGTACCTTGCACATTTCCAGTCCACTTGGTCACGCGAGCGCTGCAAATCCCGCCTGTAAAGTGGCTCCCTGAGCTCCTCCCCTAAAACATCTGTCGGGCCATCTTGCTATTTGGAGTCCATTCGTGCTTGATGCGGATGGCCGACAGTGCGGAAACGAGCCGGGGGTGTAGCAGGTAGAAAATGTGAGTATTTCATATAGCTCTTACGCCACGTGGTAGGTGACGATGTCAACGACGAATGATAATTTGTGTCCCTTTGTGCGGTATGATACTAAGGGTTTTGTTTTTCCTGTCGTGAGTTTCTGCTTCGAAGAAATCACAATCTCTGTGTCAGGGGATATTTTGCTGCCGGAGGTTTTCACCAGTGTCTGGGAATATCTAGAGCCCAAGTTACGGATATACGTCCACATCCGAAAAAAACTGTTTGAGGAGGGGAAGAACCCCTCGACCTATTGAACGTACTCGTGGGTGGCTAGTATTTTGTTGTTTCTCTTAACCGCTGCTCGAGTACACTTCGCCAACCTCACACTCTATTATATCTCCGGATTCGGATGGTGGAGACACGGAACACACTATGATACATTAGGTACGCAAGTTAGTAGTAGACACGAGTTAGAGATGTTGAAGGGTGGCATATTATATAACGACCACATCCCTACCCACCATTTATCAATAATAACACTACAACGGCGATGCAGACCCAATTTTGTATTTAACGAAAAAGTTCCAACAACATGTAGGACGCTAGAATATGTTGGAAGCAAAAGAGCCGTTAAGTTCACTCAAAAGAAAAGCAATGGGGGGGGGGGAACAAACGGGATCCAAAACCCCGTTATAGCAAGGAAAAAGAAAGACCAAAAAACTGAGAAACAAGATACCGTAAGACACTCGAGCAGTCCAAGATGTGAAACGGCTATGATACTTGACTCGGAGAACTTTAGCATATCCAAGCATATTCTAGTAGACTGGCACGCTTTATAGAAGGGTAAAGGCAAAGAGGATAGGCTATACCGGCCGGTATGAATTTTTAATCTTTTTGTCATAGCTAAACCGACTACCAGTGGTACTGATAGTTAGATACCGGCACCCGAGGTTTAGGAGTTCAGGCTCTGGCCAAGATTAACTTAGGAATAGGTCAACATTTAGGCGGGGTAGGTACTCCATATCTACCTGGCAGCGGTTCAGAAGATGGCCATGTGTAGTGGAATCAGATGAGATATGAAGGGTGAAGTATCATACGATACCAAGTAATATACGCTTCAAATTCTACCCCCTCTTCATTTCTCTTAATTCTCTCTTTTTATTTCCTCTCTAACCTTCCTTTTTCTCATTTTCCATTTCTTACCCCTGTACTTATATTTTCTTTTTTCTTCTCTCATTCTCTCTAGGCGTACTCTATTTTTCTTCATTTTTTTCGTGCGTTATTGGATTTATTTTGGCGTTGTGGCAATTTTGCTAAACCCAAAATTGCTCTAGTGCTACCGTTGCAATGCTTCACTGGTGGGCGGTCCGTGGGGATGTGGCGATTATAGGCCTCTGTAGACGTTGGATTGGTATTAAGTTATCGTAAAAAACTGGAACAATTGGCCCTCACATTCGAGGAAGCTGAGGTTGAGGTTGGAGTTGCCTCTCCTGGCAAGGTGGGGAGTAAATTTATTTTTTATTTGCCTCAGCGGAGGGCTGAAAGACAGTTTTCTCCCCAGCGCTTTTCTCCAATTGATCCGGGGAGGGAATTTTGGACGACTAAAGTGAGGTCCGATTATTCCAGTTTTTGCGTGTAGTTGTCCCAGAAGTTTGAGGAGAATTGGGGATCGTGGTGGGCTTCCCGAATTTCATTACTTTTTCCTTTCTCCTCCATTTTTTTCAATTTCCCTGGTAGTCCCCACAAATATTCTGTATAATACTGCTTCCTTCTTTTCATATCATTCGGGTAGATCGTATATTTTTCTTCTCTTGTTAAACAATATAAGTCTATTCTCTTTCTCCTTTTGTTGCTACTGTATACAAGTAGAGGTATGATGAAACCCCTAGATTCACTCCACACCAACAGCTCCTAATTTAACCGCATCTCCCAGCTCAAAAGTATGTGAGATTTGCGCTTTCTTTTTAGAGTGGGGAAGTGGGGAATGGTTATGGATGCAATGCTGAAAAGAGGAAGCTAGACTACTCATACCCGCCTTCCACTAGTGAGAATACTACGTATTCTAGCTTCGATTCTTGACTGGGTATCCTCCCTCGCTAGGTGCGCATGGTCTGCCCACTGAATATTTAGCGAGGTCCGGGGCTGTCATTAGAATTGGGAGTCTAGCCTCAGCATTAGTTGATTCCCGATCATGGTCTGTCACTCGAAATACCATGGCGGAATATTGCTGGGTGTTGGGGGATATAGGCTTGGGATGAGGGGCGATAACAAGAAAAACATGATCGGCAAATAAAGGGGAAGCTAATAACAATGGGGAATAGTCAAAATCTCCGACCGCCATGGTTTACGAACCAAGCCAAAGTGGCTGGTAATTGAAATCGCAATATTCTAGGCCAAGAGCTGTAGTCCTGGATTCACCATTCGATTGACGCTGCCCGAAGGGGGCTCCCCGAACATGGGCTTCAACACTGGTTAATATCCTTACTGTTGGGGCCGATGGGGGAGGATAATGAGTTGTAGTTGATCCTGGAGGCTATATGAAGATCGAAGGAGATTTCTTTTGTTCCGGAGTTATGCCTATTGGCGGAGGAGAAGCTTCTGCAGACAAGTCTTTTCTTCGCAGTCACCGGAACACGCAAGGGAATGGGGACACCCATGGAGGAAAATGGATATGCTCAACGGAAGGATCGGGATAATTTCACTATGCTTCATATATACTCCTGTCTCCGCGGCCAGTCTAGTCTAGTTTGGTCTAGAAGAGAGCGAGGAGAGGTCAAGAAGAGAACAGGGTTTGAAAACATACCTTTTCTACATCTCTTGCAGCTATTCCATAATAGTCAAGTCCTATTCTGTTCCGCTCGCATTACCGTTGCGACATTCATTAGTACCCTCCCCTGAGAAACTCTTTCCCTCTCAAGGCTCGAGGGGGCGTTGGAAAACGCGAAAGGGTTGTTTTTTTGTCAGCAGGAAATAGTTTGGAACTGTCACATTTATCTTGACACCTACGACTACTACATTAGCTAGATTGAAACCTGTGAATTCGCTCTTCATATACCTGAAATGGATTCCAGAAACACTCTGGTAATTATGGGCAATGAGCTGATGTTTCCTGGGTGCGATAGATCACGGTTTTGGATTCTTTTTAACAACTTTTCGGAAGCCGGGATTTTTGTTCTGGCTCTTAGATTTATATTAATTCCTCCACTCTGGTAGTCCCCTCCACTGTCTGGTCGAATATTTTATGTCATAGGGAAATTTTAGCCATCAATATGGAAGACACAACCATGATGGCACATTAATTACAGTAGAAGAATGTCGTATCATTAGAAGCGTTCCTATCAGGTGAGGGGATAAATTCCCCACTTGCAGTGTTTCCCTACCTAGAGTACGTATTAAATAGCTAGCAACCTTCCATAGAAACACGTCTTTCCATCTCCAAGGCACAGCGGGACTGAGCCAGTCCATCATCACCGCCACCAAATCGCGCAATCCATCGGAAATACAGAAGCAGTAGGTTGTAGAGTTAGAGTTTGAGTGCAGGAGACCCACGGGGATTGAACGGTACCGGTACCTTACGATACCGGGGAATTCGTCAATAAACCACAACTGAGTAAGGGAGAGACGGTGGACTAGATGATAGACAGAGATGCTAGCCAAAGTGAAATAAGGAGATATATATTTCCCGGA